TCGTTTCTTCAGTGGCCTCTTCAGTTTGTAGGCCGCCTCCATGAACCAGTGGTAGAGCATTCGCCCAGAGAGCGGAAGGCCCGGGATTCGATCCCCGGCCTTGTCATACTAAAAGACGTTAAAAGATGGTACTTGTTGTTACCCTGCCTGGTGCTCTGCATTTAGGGGCTAAAACAAAGACTGGTCGACTTGGAGTCAGTATACTGTGTCTAAGTGGGGTATTGTTAAAACTGCGGCATGGTATCTCAGTGGGCTAGCACTAAAAAAATCGGCATTTGTCTGGACTACTACAAGAGCACAAGCACGCACACACACACATAGCTACAGTAAATATAACTGCAATAATAATGGATGCAAAGTGAAACCCCATTTCACCTCACCTCACCTCACCTCACCTCTTCAGTTTGTATGTACCTGTACTCCTGTACTCACAGATCAAACCCAGTTATCATGTGTACACGAACTCCCCTGCAGACATTAGACATGAAGTGTTTGAAACAAAAACATCAGCCCTACTGCCATCAAATTTCAGAACCTGTTTTTGTTTTTCGGGGGTTTGAGGCCTAAAACTACACAATAAGAAGCCTGCTTCGACAGGTTACATAAATTTATCAACTGAAGTGATTGCGAAAGCTTCAGATTTTGGAAACAAACATTGAACTATGTCAAGTGACGGATGGAAATTATTTGTCAAGAAAAACGAAACGAAAATAACTTCAGGTTTTGAGGACAAATAAATCAACACTTAAATTTACTGCAGACCATAAGGAGCCATACAAAATTAAATTGAAACTACCCAACTTCCCAGAGCCGAACACTGTATACCTCATTACCTATACTATGTACGTGTACTGTTGCGAGCACCAGCAACATATGTTACACGTTGGGCAGCACATGTACAAATAGGATGCCACCAGAAACAGCTTTGGAAGCCGAATTGCTTTATAAAACAACTCTATTCTACATATATATATATATTTATACATAATATAATTATATGAACAACATGATCAATTTGCCATGACTTACAGGATACATAAATAAATAATGCAGAACATTTTCATTGTCACGCTTATTCGTTCCATATCAACTCAGGAAGTGTTACGAACTTGTTAACAGTTATTGACTGATATTTATTATACCTGTGACTGTGTATCCAAAAGCATCAACTAAAATTAAATATCTGGTGTTGGGTAGTTCAACTTCTGCTGATCATATGAGTGAGTGAGTGAGTGAGTTGGGGTTAACGCCGCTTTTAACAGTATTCCAGTCATATCACGGCGTGTCAGCTTAATGTGGGAGGAAAGCCCGAAGTGATGCAGGTCTCAGACGTTTACCACTTCGGTGAAACCTACAAGCACGGGTATGGTGCTGACAAACCGAGAAACATAATCGGGGCGAACCGGGATTCGAACCCACAATCATAGGTTTCTGGCGTGCCCAAGGGACGCAACTCTGCACAGCTAATTTGGGCGCCTTAGACGACTGGGCCACCCTTGCCCCCGCTGATCATATGATATATTTGTATTTCTCATCATATATTCAGACTACTAGTACTCTGAGCACTAGGGGCATGATGAGTGATGTCTGTTGAAAAGGAAACAAGGAGTATTCATGAAATTGGAAACATCTGATTTCTTTTGCATGGTAAGGTCCTGAGACTACTGACCATGCTGACAGGTTTTTTCAAGTTTTTAATTAAGATTAATTTAACCAAAGATTAGTAGAGGCGTGTGGTATATCCGGTATACCACGATATATGAAATACTAATGATTACGCATCACAATATGTTTGGAAAATACCGATATTAAGGATGTCACGATAGAGGTGTCACATGATATGGTACGTATCTCGATACAGAAGCCACAATACGATACATATCTTGATATTGTATGAATATACAACATTTTTTCATGACATTCTTTTGACATGACACTCAGTCAAGTCAACTATTCTGTACGAGTGAGTCAGTTTGGTTTAACGCCGCTTTTAACATTATTCAAGTTATATCATGGCGTTTCAGCTTAATGTGGGAGGAAAGCCTGAAGTGATGCAGGTCTCAGACATTTACCACTTCCGTGAAACCAACGTGCACGGGTATGGTGCTGACAAACCTAGAAACATAATCAGGGCGAACCGGAATTGAAACCCATCATAGGTTTCTGGCGTGCCCAAGGGACGCAACTCTGCACAGCGAACCGCAGCGCCTTGGACGACTGGGCCCCTAGACAGTATGAAAAAATAATAACAAACAAGCAAGTTTGCATACTGTATTATAACAGTTAGCAAGGACGCTGGTCAGTCTTGTTATTGGGCCATCTTTTTTATCCAAAGAAGACCAAAAAACTTATGAGTATCTAAAAAAACAGTTGGTACTTATTGATATGACAGTCGATTTGAGGTTAAATGTGAATTGATGCCAAAGTAAGTGTATCGGGTATTGCAACATGCAAAGTGTGCCGACGTGGTTATTCAGGTTCATAACAAATTACACATGAAAGAATGCATGCAATATATTGTGGCATCATAAAACATGAATCATCATTGCAATAAATTGAAATATGACATTCAGGCCAATACCCATCACTAAAGGTTGGCATGTCAACAATCAAAACCTTTTTTCAATCATGAACATTGAGATGATGGGAGCTAATTGTTTTGTATTCAGCATGCTGCAGTTTTTTAGAATAATATTGTGTTGCTATCTTTATTATCTAGCATGTCTAGCATGGCTGGGGAACCCTTAATGACTTTAACCCATTTAGTTTCATCCTTAACTTCTTTCATCCTTTCCGTAATATCACTAGTGTTCAAAATTAAAGGGGATGACAGGATCCATGAGATGTTCTCATATGATATTTGACTCTTGGGAGGCACTTCAAACTAAAACCCCTTGACATTCATGCTTAATTTCGAACACTGCATCACATGTCACAGCACCAAGCACTGCTTACCATGTATACTCTCAGACAGTCATGATTATAGTCATGTGCTAATTTACTACAGTTCCTTTGTCTGATGGCCAGGAGAAATAGCAGACAGCCTTCTATTAAAGGTAGTGACACGGTAGACCAGTTCATAGTCTTTACTCATATATACTTGTATTCATCTTCCCAAGGCAAGAGAGTTAACTGACTATAAAAGTCCAGTATCCACCCTTGCTGAACTAGGCTGGAATTACTGGGCTCGATCGTAGCGCCACAAGTGGCTGTTACCAGTTATGTCCCTTCTAAGCCTCTCCTATGGACCAATCAGATTCCATCTCTCGTATCACTGCGTTTGCTTCACACAAAATGGTGGCGCCCGGTCAGGACGATCTGATCGATAATCAAGATCTAAATTGTGATAAAACGGGTCTTACATCACGAAATGCATCAAATCACGTGAGCACCTTCATCAAAAACATGAAAAGATTTGGAAAATATCTGCTGACGAGTTGGCGGTGCACATGCTTTGCAAATCCTGCAATCGACCCAAACCTGCATGACAGTTATCGAACCAGATTATGATTTCGGTGCACGATTTTGATTGGACTATGCATAGACTCTTTAGTCCAGCAAAAATATAACTCCATAATACCAGCACAGTTAGGCAAGGGTGGAAACTGGACTTTTATAGACAGTTAACTCTCTTGCCTTGGGAAGATGAATCACTGACATCTCATATGCTGCTTCAGCAATAGAAGCTTTATTTGTTTGTTTGTTTGTTTGTTTATAGCCGCAGTCAGCAATGATCCAGTTATATTACGACGGTCTCTAAATAATTGAGTATGGACCAGACAATTCCATGATTGACATCATGAGCATTGACGTACGCATTTGGAATGCGATGACATGAATCAACCAAGTCAGTGAGCCTGACCACCCAATCCCTCTTACAACAAGCATTGTTGTCTTTTACGGCAAGCATGGGTGGTTGAAAACCTATTCTAGCCCGGACAGCGATAGAAGCAAACAATTTTAGTCAACTAGTCCTTATAATGATAACATATAGCAAAAACTTAAAACATGGCAAATTTCTACTAGTCCTTGTGATAGCAGTTTGGTAAGGACAAGAGGACAATGAGTGCCAATTTCTAATGCTGCAATGTTCCTACTGTAATTCAGCACTATGTCATTAATTAATGTGACACAAGCAACAGACTGGACTTACTTTCAACTTTGATAAATTTACGGGAGAAAAATATATGACATATTTAGGGTACATTTATTCTGTGCTATATATAACATATAGCAAAACCCTTAAAAAGGGCCAATTTCTACTAGTCCTTATGATACCTTTACCATTGGGCAGTTTGGCAAGGACTATAGGACCAGTGTCAATTTCTAACGCTGGTTAACTGACTGTAAAAGTCCAGTTTCCACCCTTGCCGAACAAGGCTGGAATGTCTGGGCTCGATCAGTAGCATCACCAGTGGATATTATGAGTTATGTCCCTCCTATTGACCAATCAGATTCCACCCCTCATATATCTTGCATTTGCTTCAAAGAAAATGACGGTGCCCAGTCAAGACGATCAGATCGATGATCAAGTTGAATATTGTAAAAACAGAACTGGGGCTTACTTTGTGTCGTGCATCAAATCATGTGAGCACCTTAATTAGAAACATGAAAGCATTTTGAAAATATCTGTTGACGCCGAGTTGACGGTACACAAGCTTTACAAGCCCTGCAATCGACCAAAATCTGCACAGCAGTTGAAATAGATGATGATTTTGTTACGCGGTCTTGAGTGGATTGTACATGGACTCGTTAGTCCAGCCAAGATGTATCGCCATAATTCCTGAATAGTTTTGCAAGGGTGGAAACTGGACTTTTAACTCCCTTGCCTCGGGAAGATGCATCAGGTAAAGTTGATACAATTCATAAACTCTTAAAACATGCATAAACATGAAAATTAAAATAATAACAGTTGAATATGTTCCCTTGGTACTGTCATCAATTATTTGTATACCCTAGGTTTGTCCTGGAGCGAGTATACACCGCGGGACAACAGTTACCTGTGGGGTCATGGATAGCCTGGCTGTAGGGTGGGGGTGGCATGTTGCCTGATGGAGGATCCATGCCTGGATACACAGGGGGAGGTCCCTGAAATACAACACAAGGAAACTTAACTGTAGTCACAGGTAGAAAATATTAATGTACAATCAAATACTCTGTGTTGAAACTGAAGGGATGAAAGGTATGACATTTCTAAGATTCAACACAAACACTGAGGAATTATCAATCAAAACTAAGCATGCAAAGTGTTAATGTAGACCATGTAGACACAAAATTAGGGAAAAGGGCATTATTTTGTTCAATCTTACATGTCCAAAACAGGAACATATTTTAAACTAATGTCCTCATTTGTTAAATTCAGGGGTATTTTAGAATTGCATTCAATGACATAATAAACCAAAGAGTAGTGGTACTATTTAATAGCAGCAAAACATGAACATGTTATGTGGTCGTTAGCTGAAAGAGTTTCTGACTGATTTCAATTCTTCATGGGGATCAAGCAACTAATTGCCTGTGAAAATGTGGGTCATGTAGCAGAACGATTATCGAGTCTGGGCCAGAAAAACCAGTGATGGATATCACGAGCAATGTCTAATATCGTCAGGGTATGGTGACACGCAAATAGCTAAGTCATCGAACCTGACCTCATATAGTGATGAAGTATCTTTAAGTGTTAACAGTTTATACACGTTTCTTATTAACCAACTTCACAATATCATGTAGATGATCTTCCCTGTGTTAATCTAAGCCATGTTTCACCCAGACTGATCATGCTGACTGACCTGAGTAAGTGAGTATGGTTTTACACCCCTTTTAGCAATATTCCAGCAATATCACAGCGGGGGACACCAGAAATGGGCTTCACAAATTGTACCCATGTCGGGAATCGAACCCGGGTCTTCGCGTGACGAGTGAACCACTAGGCTACCCGACCACCCCCTGGCTGACCTTTGGCAGAAACAGGAGAAGGTAAAAGCAGCCCTAAACAACAAGATCACCGAAGCATGCAGTCACTTAGCTTAAGCCTACACATACTGCCTAACATGGCTCAGGAAAATCCTGAATATTTGTTGCGATCTGATCATACACATTAACATGATTTAGCAACCTGCCAAATACAATGATTACTGACCTTCTTTATTGAACAAGCTATGTCAACCTCATACTGGACAGTACTTGTCTGAATAAATTAAATGATATAGGTAAATCAGGGGTAGATACCTTGGTCATATCCAACTGGCCTGCAGACTAGTGGTTATGTAAAATAACTAGACTTTAGATAAAATAACAAGTCCATGTAGATTGTTACTTGTCTTGGACTTACAGACCAGTGTCCATGTCTATCCCTGCATGGAAAACCTCTACCCACCCATTGTTGCCCAATGATGATAATTGCTTAAAACAAGTGAGAGAATCAAGTCTTTGAATGGCATTTATAAGTGATACACATGAGAGCGATAATTTATGGCTTTCAACTTCCTTATGAGGAACACAATGTTTCGGAGTATAAGCTTACTCCTTCATGAGGTGAATGAATGCTAGGATGTAGAAAGTATAGAGAGAAACAAAAGGGAAGCCAACAGTTGATTAGCGCTGATTTGTAATAAGCAATGGATGGCTGAAGTATATAAGATGTGTTAATGTCAACGATCACTTTACATTATTAGGCATTCTTTCACTGAGTGAGAGGGGCCTAATAATGAGAGAGAATGCCTAATTAATGTAATGTGATCATTGACATTACAACACATGTTATATATTTCCATCTGTCAGAAATACAGCGACACTTGCAATTGGCTTGCCAACTAGTGAACCATATGATTATACATACATAGTGAAACTTTATAACTCAAGACTCCATCAATTTGATACACATATATGTAGATCTATATGGTTAAAGATCACATTACAATAATATACATAAGTTTCTGACAGAACACTTATCAATGCTATATATACCGACAGTCCCGAATTACAGTCTGCTTGTCTTGAACTATGAACAATTTTATCACGTTGATATATTTTTATGACTCAATATTGATATGACACCAAAATAACGACACACATGATAACAGCGATAGTAACCAACAGTTTTAGTCCATTAGTCCGTAAAATGATAACATACAGCAAAACACTTAAAAAGGACAAATTTCAAATAGTCCTTATGATACCTTAACTATATGGCAGTTTGGCAAAGACTTTATAGGACTTGTGCCAATTTCTTATAAGATAAGGTCTTACTTTCTTTTATCCATGTCAACTATATATTTGACATCCATCAATCTTATTTACATTTTTTAATTTTGGATAATACAAAATGTTGTCATGAGTCAACAGGGTCCAAGGATTCAGAATGGCTCAAGTTCTTAGACATTGGCTGATCCAGTGTTTATGGTGATTGTTATAAAAAATAGAGATTCTTTTATTTTGTAAGGACCAAGAAGAATGTCCAATCAAACATGAACTTAAAAATGACCTGTTGCCAATTATCTCGAGCTAATTCCCTGCTGGTCGGTGATTCATTTCCTGTACTCAGACTACACGACGTTAAATCACCAACACCATAGCGACATACATAGCGACATACAATGTAGCCTAAGACTCTTAGTAAGAGACCGCAACTATCGAAACCTACCTTGTTTATTAGTATATTACAAAATGTGTCCACGGTTTCTCAAAACATTAACACAACTTTAGAACTTTAACCAACTGTGTATAAATACACGTGACAATGACTGTCATGATCCTTAAGTCACTCCTCTGTGTTATTTTTAATCACAGCTAATATGACTGTCGGTCTGCGATCAACAGAAAGTAAACATAATAAGCTAAACAAATTGAAATATTAACCCTAAGATTCAGTGTCTCGCTTAAAGAAATACACGAAACTATTCCGTGGTTAACGCACACTCGATACTTTCGGGTATTTCGTACTGAATTGATCGGTATTTGTCACATGCAAACGATTTTACCTGTTGATAGCCTTTCTCCATATCAGCAGACGCCATTTTTGTTTTCGCTGTCAACTCAAGTCTTTCCGTAAGGTTTCGGGCATGTCACGGAAAGGCACGAGTGAACACGAATACAAGAAGATGGGTGTGACGTCCGCCTCCGACAGGCCTCGTCGGAGTTCGCAAATTTCTTTTTAAACAATATAACAGTTATACATATCGTGGCATGTTAGTAATTCAACGAATCTGTACGAGAAAAACAGTGATTGGTAGCATTAGCATCGTCCCGTTTCATGTGTCACATATGTAATTACATGTACCGTATTCGACGTAATAAGCGCACAGGGCTTTTTGGTGAAAAAAACAGAGTTGAAAGATACATTTCGTGGTTTATGCTGACAGCCTGAAATGTTTATGTACGACAGATATATATATTTTTCCATTGCAAATGTTTAGGTTGCATATAACACACGAGTGTGTATTATACGCGAATTGATAAGTCTTGTGAACATTGATCAATCGGAAGGGGTGCTAATTGGGATTGTTCACTTGTCAATATGTTAGCAATTATCACTGTGGGCGCAGAGCGGGGCGCTTATTAGGTCGAATACGGTAACCTGCTAGTAAACCAATGTTATTTTATCATCTGTGGCAGATGAATACTCAATTTGTCCTTTATAGTTGATTCAGCGAAACATAAAAAGCCAGAAAGATTAAAATGAAATGAAAATAAAGGTGAACGAAACACTTGTTTGGAATAGATTAAATGGATTCCAGTGCTTGTCACAATATAACAATTAAAATATCAACCTTTTCATGTAAACAAAATGACGAGTTGTTTCATCATGGGACACTAAATACCGTATTTGATGTAATAAGCGCGCAGGGCGCTCTCAAAATTGGAAATGGGGGATGTCATTAGAATATTATTTTGTGAAAAAACAGAGTTGAAAAATAAATTTCGTGGTTTATCCTGACAGCCTGAAATGTTTATATACGACAGATATATTTTTCCAGAATTTAATTGCCCATAATTAAGGGTGCATATGACACTTGAGTGTGTATTATACGCGAATAAATAAGTCTTGTGTACATTTATCAATCGGGAGGGGTGCTAATTGGGATTGTTCACTAGCCAATATATTAGCAAATATCGCTGTGGGCGCTTATTAGAGCGGGGCGCTTATTACGTCGAATATGGTACTCAATGTTTGTTCAGAGATTCAGTCTGGCACACGCGGATCTAGAGGCAGGGGTTATATAACTCCCTTGCCTCGGGAAGATGTGTTTGTCCGGACCATCCGGGATTTGAACTCAAACTGCCAGAGTGAGGCACCTAATCCCAGCACACAAAGTCAGTGATCCCACCCACTCAGCCCCCGGAAGTGTTGGTTCGAATCCCAGACGGGACTCAACCCCAAAAAGTATGAGAATTTGTACTTTAGTAAGTAAGTGTTACTCCAAATATAACATTTGTTACATTTGACCACTTTCTAAATTGTTGTGTGTGTTCATAGCTTTCGGCCATGGGAACCATGTCAATTTACGCTTGTGAGGTGGGTACACAAAGTATGTGATCTAAACTACCAGTTGTCGGACTTTCATTTTTGTGGAAGCCTCGGTGGCTGAGTGGGTTAGATCGCTGACTTTGTGTGCTGGCGATAAGGTGCCTCACTCTGGCAGTGTGAGTTAGAATCCCGGACGGAAAAAGTACTAGAATCTGTACTTTACTAAGAAAGTGTTATCCCAAATATAACATTTGTTACATCTGACCACTCTCTAAATGGCATTGTGTGTTCACATTATCAAGATAATTTATATTTACATGAAGTTCAAAGTTCCAAATCTTAATTCCATGGTATTGTTTTGATAGTTCAATAACTTGTCTTGTATACAGACAGACAGATTGTATAGGAATACTCTCATCAAGTTAGACAAGATCACTCTTGTCGAACATGCAGTAACAAATTTGTTCTTTAGAATTTGCAGAGTATTTGTCACCTTCTGTTGTCTCTGGTTGTTCGTGTGTTTGTTGTTTAACGCTGCAGTCAGCTATACGACGGCGGTCTGTCAATAACTGAGTTTGGACTAAACAATTCCAGTGATTAGAATCATGAACATCGACCTACGCAATTGAGATACGATGACATGCATCAACCAAGTCAGCAAGCCTGACCACCAATCCCGTTATAGTCGCCTCTTAGGACAAGCAGGTTAGCTTAAGACCAATTTTAACAGGGATCATCAGGTGTTCTCCCCTTTTTGAAGCATACCAATCGTGTTGATCTACTAAAAGTCATCCAATAAAACTAAATCATTTGGTGACATGTTCTCAAGAAAATAACAATTAATTGAATAACTTTTGGCAACCAAATGCGCCATACAAAAAGAGGAGAGAAGATGGTACTTGTTGAGACCCGTGAAGAGCCGGGGTAGAATAGCTCTTCAGAAACCCATGCTTGCCGTAAAAGGCGACTATGCTTGTCGTAAGAGGCAACTAGCGGGATCGGATGGTCAGGTTTGCTGACTTGGTTGATGCATGTCATCGTATCTCAGTTGCGTGGATCGATGCTTATTATATCAATTACTGGATTGTCTGGTCCAGACTTGATTTTTAACAGACTGCCGTCATATAGCTGGAATATTGCTGAGTGCGACATTAAACAACAAACAAAGAAACAAACTTGTTGTTGATGCCATTTATGTAGCAAACCACTGACTAATGTTTGAGGTGAAAATAAAGTCTAGCAGAGCCACACTCAACTGTAAAATCAAAGTGAAAGTGAGCTCTGGTTGTAACTAACTGTATCTCTGAAGGTCGCCTTGCATATTACATATTAGAATTAGTATTAATTATGTAAAACTAGTGTTCTTGTGAAATTAATGCCCATAAAATGGTAAATCATGCATCCCTGATAGTTCAGTTGGCTCAGACTTGATTGACTGGATGTCATTATACTGGCGTTGAATGTGGCTCATGATATTCATCACTGGTTTGCCGGGACCAGACTGGATCACTTACAGCTGGCCGGATATGACTTGAGCATTGCTGACTCAAATAGGTTATTTCAATTAATAAGCTGTTTTGTGCATGTGTTTGCATAATTACTTCCGGGGCTGAAAAGGGTCATCAGTACCCATACTTGTTAATAAATGAGTGAGCCGTGAAGATCCAGGGTAGAATAGGTCTTCAGCAACCCATGCTTGCCGTAAAAGGCGACGATGCTGGTCCAAAGAGCCGTCTAACGGGATCTGGTGGTCAGACTCGCTGACTTGGTTGATGAATGTCATCGTATCTCAGTTGCGTGGATCGAGGCTCAAGATGTCAATCACTGGATTGTCTGGTCCAGATTCGATTATTTTCAGGACGCCATCATATAGCTGGAATATTGCTGAGTGCGGCTTTAAACAACAAACAAACAAACAAACAAACAAATGATAAATGAGTGGTAACAACGGCTGACCAGGCTGATTGTATTCTAGTTGAAATTGATTGTTGCTCATGTTGGTCCTAATTATTTAAAGGCTGTCGTTATAACCTTGAAATATTGCTGACTGGTATAAAATCACTGTCACTCACCCAATTCAACCAGTAACCATGGTAACTTTTATCAGGTGAGCTACACTGATATATATTGACTTTTCTAAAAGAAAAGAGGTGAGGTAAATGGGTTTCACACTGCATTGAAGATTATTGCACTTATATTGTGACGTGCATGCACGTGTGCGTGTGGATGTGAGTGCAAGTCTGGGACTCATGCTTGTTTTATAGTGCTTACCCATTAGGATACCATAGCACAGTCTGATATACCAGGTTGCTAAGGAGATTGCGTGGATGCTCTACTCTGACACATTATACTCAGTGCCATCCTGTACTTATTTAATCTCCTTAATGCCGAGTACCAGGCAGGGTAAGCAGCCGGGGATCAAACCACTGACCTTATGCCCTCCTGGCACACACTCTATCCACTGTGCCACGTAGCCGGTCTAAACCTGAGTGATTGTGTATGGTCTTAGGCCGCTTTTAAAAATATTGCCGAAATGCTGTAAATGGTGAAATTAATCCATCTCCAAAAGAATGTGACCGCTGGCCCCTAGCCAAAAATGTGACTCAATATGAATGCAACACCCCTTCTTCTCAAGCATCAGTGGATTGATATTTGATGAAAATGTCCTCGGTCAGGTTTACAGGAGAATCCTCACCTCAATCCAACCTTACATTAATCCAATCACACACCAAATAGCACTGCTTATTAGTGCTGAATAGAGTACTTCCGCTAAAACAATACATGCGCGCTGGCTCGTGTCGGCCTTTGACGCAATCGCAAAGAACAAAGACACCGTGTTGTATGGGTGGCGTCTGTCTGGACTTGCAGGTGTGATCAGTGATGACATCAGTAAATAGAACTCTTGTCTTGACCCCAGCAGTGACAATTCACAGAATGTAATTAGTGTTCGAATGACATTATTTATATACTTGTTACAAGTGCTGTTCAATAAACAGTGATGTGGAATACATAGTTTCAGCGTATGTCTAAGTTGGTCTTTCTGCTATCCAAAATGTCTTACTGTTGATATAAATGCGACGTTTAATAATGAAAGAAGAGACCACTCTCATATTTCGCATTTAATTCACGCTCGCGTTAATTTTAAGATTTACAGTATTAGAGCAATATCAGTGTGTGGGGACACCAGAAATAGACTTCCCACATTGTACCCATGTGGGGAATCGAACCAAGGCCTTTGTCATCACAAGCAACACCTTAACCACCGAGCTCCCCAACAGGCCCCCATTCTCAAAGACAAGACAGCACAGTAACAAGTGACATATTGTTTAATCGTCAAAACCTTCACTTTTTATAACATAACAAAAGGCAGAAATAAATATAATGCTTAAAAGAAATTTGGCATAATTAGGAACACTGGTTTGTGACATCAGCAATAAATACAGGTAAAAATATTGCACTGTACAGTTCCATATGATAATTATAGACGCTGATAGAGCCAGGAACTAATCAGACATATGATTAAGAATACTCTGTGAAATAAACAGATAAACAATCACAAAATCAGTCCTTTCGCGACAGATAAAAAGGAAAACCCTTTGACTTCTTTTGCTATGGAAAGACGAGGGTAAACAAGCTTACAAAGAATACTTTTTAAAACAATTATATATTTTTGTGGTGCCATGCCAAAGTGTCATTGGACAAGACTTGAGCTATAAACATACACACAGGCGCGTTACATATATTGAATGTCCCACAGTCACTAGTGTAGGTAATAGGGGCGAAGAAAAAGCTTGGATTGGATTTACGGCCGAAAAAAAAGATGTCAAAATGGTGATTATTAGTCATGAATGACAACCCATGAATAAATAATGTATTTTTTTAGACATTTTCTGTTATAAACATAAAACAAGATAAATACACTTTGATAAATGCCAAACAGTGTATATTATATAAGACCAATGTAATGCTTCATGCATGATAAGTAAGGATGTTTAATCATGTTAATATCAAGGATTACATCGTTTCATATCAATTCTAAGCCCAATATATTTTGGAACAAAGCAAAAAATGCACAGACACTTCGGTGAATTGTTACAGCCCGAGACAAGGCACCTGTCATCTTTTTTATATATTCTTTGTAAGTTGTCTCCTAACACAATATAAAAAATCCAAGTTTCATGATGATAGTTTCTGTTTCTCAAGAACTCTCCACTGTAAAACAGTTGTCTTCTCACCATTGTTGACATATATAATCATATAAATATACACTTCTAAAATAATCACAATAGAACATGTACAACAAAGATGGATTAAATACAGCATCGATAATTTCAAAGGAAATATATTATGCATAAAGTGGGCCAAAACATGGCATATGTGACTTGAAAGACTTGAAAGTATATGGGAGAGCGGCAGGCGAAAACAAGATAAAAAAACGTGACTAGTGATGCTCCGAGGTTTCCATCCCTACACTGGGACCCAAGGCATGATGTATCTAGTCCTAGTATTCCCATCTGGTAATATACACCTGCACCTTTCAGATTTCTGACAGGATTCATTATATAAGTAAGGCCAAAATGAGTCTAAGAAATAAATTAAACCTGAAAATATTTATAATTGATTATGTCTCCCACTAGTTACATAGACCCTCTTATAAAACATATAATGTTCTTCACGTTTTTATTGCAAATGTAGGGATTGAGAATGCACAGGTGACATGCTTCATTCCGATTCGCTTTATAGACAGGGTATATAAATTGGCATCGATTTAAAAGGCTTGTACAAGGGGGGTCGTCTTATACATGGGGTCGCTTTATAGACAGCGATATACGGTATGTAAATTCCATGTTTTTATCTATATCTAAGAAATTCAGTTTGGGTTTTACCTGTCATGTTTACATATTAGAATAAAGTCCTGAAATCCTCTAAATTTTATCTGATAACAGTCGTAATGATTTCCAAAAGTTTTTCTCATTTCTTTAATTATACACACCCTAAGACCACACATTTTATATCTGACGTTTTTCGGGCTTTACTGAAAAGCATCAGTTTTAAGAAATAAATTACCGTAATTGACGTAATAAGCGCCCAGAGCGCTCTCAAAATTAGTAATAGGGGGCTCTTATTAGAATACTATTTTGGTGAAAAAAAAAAGATACATTTCGTGGTTTATGATGACAGCCTGAAATGTTTATGTACGACAGATATATTTTTCTAAAATTTAATTGCCCATAATTAAGGGTGCATATAACACACGAGTGGGTATTGTACGCGAATTAATACATCTTGTGAACATTGATCAATCGGAAGGGTTGCTAATTGGGATTGTTCACTAGCAAATATATTAGCGAATACCGCCGTGGGCGCTTATTACGTCAAATACGGTAAACCTAAAAATATTTATAATTGATTATGTCTCCCACTAGTTACATAGACCCTCTTATACAACATATAATGTTCTAAATACCATGTACACATCACTATCAGTGATCAAGAGGCAACCTGCAACTCCACAACAGAATGACTTTCATATAAATAAATAAATAATTCACATTTAGTTTTATTTCGACCGACCATGTGTGGAATAAACCTGGGAAACAAAATTAAAAAAGTGTGTCCTTAGGGACTCAAGGGATCTTGTCCTACCTGGGGCTCCCTGGTAGGGAGGAAAGAGGTCTAGAACCCCTGGCATACTGGACCTGGGCACATCACTGTATGAGATGTACAGCAGACACATCACTGTATGAGATGTGCAGCAGACACATCACTGTATGAGATGTACAGCAGACACATCACTGTATGAGATTTACAGCAGACACATCACTGAATGAGATGTGCAGCAGACACATCACTGAATGAGATGTACAGCAGACACATCACTGTATGAGATGTGCAGCAGACACATCACTGTATGAGATGTACAGCAGACACATCACTGTATAAGATGTACAGCAGACACATCACTGTATAAGATGTACAGCAGACACATCACTGTATAAGATGTACAGCAGACACATCACTGTATGAGATGTGCAGCAGACACATCACTGTATGAGATGTACAGCAGACACATCACTGTATGAGATGTACAGCTGACACATCACTGTATAAGATGTACAGCTGACACATCACTGTATGAGATGTACAGCTGACACATCACTGTATAAGATGTACAGCTGACACATCACTGTATGAGATGTACAGCAGACACATCACTGTATGAGATGTGCAGCAGACACATCACTGTATGAGATGTACAGCAGACACATCACTGTATGAGATGTACAGCAGACACATCACTGTATGAGATGTACAGCAGACACATATTACAAGTCCAGGTGCTGTATTCACAAAAATTCTTTTCCAACCTGCTTAGAAAATTCTTAGCTAAGACCTGAAACAGCTGTGGTGTGCCAGCTGTCGCCATATTGGATACAAGAAACAATTTAAGTCACTGAAAGCCCTCTCTATTACTTTTAACTTTGGAGTACTCTCAGAGCAAAAAGTTTCTATGAAAATGACTTAAGAAAATTCTTAGACTTCAGAGCAACTTTTTTGTTTTCTTGAAATTTTTTCGAATATTTCGAATATTCTCAGACTTAAGACTTCTCAAGCACTGTGAGATTTTTATGTCTATGGCCCCAGGAATGCAAGTACAAATATAAAACAAACAAAGCGATGTTTATTGACAAAGAATGAAGAGATAAATATGCATGACGATTGAGCAACTGAATATCAATATTGTAAGCTGATCAAGCATATCAGACAAACTGAATGCATATGAAGATCTTGTGTCTGTTCAAATTCTACAAAGAACAAAAGTTACGAACGATGCATTTTTCTTGTCGACTCATTTGAAACAAGGATGATTGCATTAACAATTTAATCTGTACCTGCAACACAAATAGTCTGTCCATGCTGCCGTGGTATTTTTGTAATAGTTTTCTGCAAGGTCTACTGGACTTATAGGTAATTGAGTAGAAAGTACAGTACATACATTGGTATTTTTTTCAATAAATATTTATAACATCATATTTGGTCTACTAGCTAGTTCTTAAAATTCTTGATATGTTGTTAATTGTTGAGTTACATTTTTATTTATACCATGAAATGCAAAACATTGTCACAATCTCATTAAAATCACATCTTAGTTCTCGCTACTGCTAAACAAAGATCTGAGGACATCCCATTAGGGGTCACGTCAGAACGACCTTTCATCCGACCAATCAGAGCGTCGCTTACCAGATCATGAAAGTGACAGTCGGAATGTGATTTCTAATCATGCAACCTCGAAAACTTTCACACTGGGTATTTGGAAAGATAGTTACGGGTTTAACGACTGAATCCATACAATCTAGACAATATATTTGCCATTCCAGAATGTTCTTTTGTTCAGGTTTCAAATTTTTAATCGAGAATTTGTTAAAATATGTTTCGAAGCGTAGTCGCCGATTTGAAATTAGTGCTGTAAAGCACGAGGAAGCTGCCTTCTGATTGGCTAATGTCGACTTCTTGTCAGTCTTTCCATTGGTCGGTCAAAATTCGCGCAAGGTCGGTCTGACGTGACCCGTAATGGGATGTCCTCAGATCTTTGTTTAGCGATAGCGAGAACTAAGATCTGATTTTAATGAGATTGAACATTGTCAGAAACTTTACTGCAAGAATGAGGGAGACAGCGCCATCACAATCACAAGCAGAATGTGTCTTGACCTAGTGTTGGCCTGAACAAGACATTGTTTATCAAATTCAGTATGTAAGGGAGGTAATCGCATTGTAGTCAAAAACATTGTGTAAGATGCAAAACAGAATGACAAGAAACCAAAATTGTTCATAGTGTTTCAAACATGCCAGTGATGACAAAATATTTTAGGAAAATTATTTTATCGTAAATTGTATTTCACCAACAAAGTTCGCTGCCATGTTGATGCATCTCATTAAAGTTTCCTTGTAACTTTATGATCAATTCATTCTTGTTTGTTTGTTTGTTTGTTTGTTTGTTCAACGCCGCACTCAGCAATATTCCACCTATACAACGGCGGTCTGTAAATAATCAAATCTGGACCAGACAATCCAGTGATTGACGTTATGAGCATTGATCCATGCAATTGGGATACGATGACACGCATCAAACAAGTCAGTGAGCCTGACCACCCGATCCCATTAGTTGCCTCTTACGACAAGGTCCAATTCATTCTTGACAACAAAACACACAACTTTATGGATTACAACTTCTGGATAATTGCATTCAGCGACATTTCTTACACCGTTATCAATCTGGATAAGAGTGTATTAGTCTACATCAGTTGTATGTTTTCTTATTTACTCACCAACTTCTAGGAAGCCAATCAAACAGTTAATTCATTCTTGTCCTAATCAGGCCAGTATCATAATCTGGACTTTCAATATGGGACATGAATTTTGTTATCAACATGCTTACTGATTAACATTTCCGACTGATAAAAGGATGGATGGAATGTTACACTAGTTTTTTTGTTCAGTGGTATTTTCGAATTTTTCATTCGTCACCACTCGCACCTTCCTTCAACCTGCATGAAGACTCTTATGTCTGAAAATATGACAAACCAATCAGAATGCGTGTATGACTCCCTCAGGTATAATTTTTTATTTACAATTCTTGGTTCTAAAAATATACCCTCGATACAGTTAAATGTGTTCAATCATACTGTATTAATATCGTAAGTCCTGATGTGTTTTAAAAAGCTTCTGGAATATATATGACATATATATGTGAATCATTATGCAACAAGTTGACAATTCTTTTAACTATGCCCGTTTGCGCTTAGACGGAACCCAGTCACAAAAATGGCCACAAGAGGTGCATGAGGGGCTATTCGGCTTGTCCCGGAATAACACGAGTTGGTCACGAAAGTGGTATATACAGAAAACCATGGAGTTCAAAGGTAACAACTCCATACAAACAAGGGTTCACAATAAAGTTCATAGGTGGTCCTGTGTAGATTACTGCTATGCAACATTTATGGATTCAGGACACTAATGCTGGTTCATTGGCTCTGGTCTACCAGTAGTTACTTTTGTTTCAGACCGTTGGAAATGAATTAAATGGTGTAGTGTCTATTGTGGGTTGTGTTGGGTTTGGGGGCACAAGCTTATAACATATCTCTCATTGGAGAGGAAACAATAAACACAATCTCCAACCTAAACAAACCTGCATTGTATATTGTTTCCTACATACATTAAATTGCATTATTCAACACTTTGGGGCAACTACGACTAGAGATCCTACACAACCAGTAACTTTCCATATAGTGGTTTTTAGGATTTCTGACAATTTCTGGATAGTGTCCACATCCAAAACTGGCATAGGTTAATATGAAGGGTGACCTTGGATGAGCTTGACCTGGGTAGCACAAGCTTTATTTGTTTGTTCGTATGTTAATTGTTTTACGCCTCACTCAACAATATTCCAGCTATCTGACGACCTGTAAATAATCAAGTCTGGACCAGACAATCCAGTGATTGACACAATTGGACTATCATGACATGTATCAACCAAGTCAGCGACCCTGACCACCCGATCCCCTCTTACGACAGCTTTAAACAAACCCCGCCTGTATACTTGTTTCATTAGGAAAAGGGAACAATACCAGAGTAACAAGAATAAACCCGGAATTACATTCAATATCACAACATACAAATACAAAAACATAAATCATCTAAAAACAATATACAGTAAAAGAAAACATACATACACATCTAGCTTCATCATGAAAAACCAATGTCTCAATGTGGCAGCATTTGATATTACATAATTTCCAATATGTCAAATATTTGGCAATATTTGATGACAATATCATACTGTGATACAGTTTGTTATCACTAATTCTCTAATCTCAAAACTCATCAGATTCCAACTTACACTTACACATAGATATTATTCCCACCATTTCAAAACATTGTGAAACATGGGCGAAAAAACATTGTTGAAAAGTGTTAAAGCTCGTTCCCGGCGTGTGACACCTTCGTTACATTCTTGGTAACATCACTGCCACCAGTGTATTCAGCATCACGGCAATCATCACTTGTTTGTAAACATAACGGCCAGTTAGCTGCGAGTTGAACTCCATGCATGGCAACTTGTAGCCACCCATCACAGTGTAGAGCTTTGACTGGTGGCAGCGATAGTATAGAGAGCTCCACGAACAGGATATCACAGTGAGGAACTTGGTAAGTGTATAATAAGGGCAGATAACTATAATTACACAATTCACGGCTATAACTGTTGTGATCTTATCTCAATGTCTTCTATTGGGTTTTTCAGCAGGGAGGTCAGCAGCTCAGAAGGAAATCGGGGAAAGTCAGAAAAATCATTTTTGGATATATTTGTGTGAAATACTATTTTCCAAACCCTGCAAACATGATGTAGTGATACAGACATACTATGTGCATGGAGTCGAAGGAAGGCTGAAATTTTAAGACGAACAAGTAACAAAAATAAATAAATAAAGATCTGGGTGCTGTTCCACAAAGCGAACTTAGAACTATGACTGTCGTAAGTCTATTCTAAAGCATGAGTTACGATCTTCTTAGAGCTACGATTGCTTCGTGGAACGTGCCCCTGTTCTGATATACCATGACATACACAGGCATTACCAGAAATTCTATCAAATATGATCAAAACAAGAAAAAGTAAGACTGACACACACAAAATTAATTTCAATGTCTAAATCAGACTGTTTTTACAAACCTTCCCTACATATAGACACTAACAATGCTGTTTGTGAACATATTTTTGTCATGTTTGTTGTAGTTTCGTTAAATACATTTTTTAAGGATCTAAACCTCATTCAATTATTCTGCATCCAGCTTTTCGGCATATTGACAATAAAAACCTGTACAAGATAAGACAATTGGTCTGGCCATATCGAGGATAGGTGGTACACAACAAACATTCATGAATAGCGTTCTCACAGTCTTAGCATGCTTGGAGAACTGGATGTAGATGTTGAAATAGTCAAGGCTGAACATCCAGCGTTAGAAATTGGCACTGGTCCTATAGTCCTTGCCAAACTGACCAATACTTAAGGTATCATAAAGACTGGTAGAAATTAAGGGTTTTCCTATATGTTATCATAATAAGGACTAGTTTTTGTTGCTGCCATCATGTCATGGGTTAGGTCAGGGTTAAACGATTCGCATTTCGTTACATGGCCCACGATACGTATCGCAATACATATTCATGTCAAAACCACTTGACAGTAAATATTTCAGAGCATGATTCAAAAGAAATCTAGCTGTACACATGGTCGTAATGGCTATTTTTAGCAGTGAACTTGAAACACTAATTACAATACATATTGCGATATTTCATTGACAAAAAATGGAGGCAGTAGTAAATATTTTTTTTGCAAGTGTATGGTATCGTCCTATCGAGGCGTGAAAACTCATGATGCATTAGTGTATTGTTTCACCCCTAGGGTTTAAGTGTTAAATGTGGGCAATAATGATACACTATGTAGTGATATGATACATATCTGGATATAAGCTTGTGATGTGATTCATGGATATTTGACACTGTTTCATTAGGAGCCATATTCCATGTAAAAAGAAATGACTCACTTAATTTATACTAACAATAACCTTGTACATACTGTCAGAAAATAGTATTTTTTAATTTTACATTTTCATACCATCATGACAATATGCAATGCAATATAAACATGTATTATTATGTATCAATAATGGTCGCATGATATGCTCATACCGTGGGACAAAGTATCACAATGGTCTGATAGTTCTGTAAACCTCTACAGCATTAGACATGTTAAAGAAATTACACCCAATGAGATAATAATCCTTTACAGCTGTCTGCATCTTAATAAAACTCCTCCCCAAATAATATTTCACCCAGTATACAATATATTCTTATCAGTGTTCTGAGATCCATCGTATATTACAATATTACCAGTAATAATTTAATAAACAAATGATAAAGTTTAATATTCACTGGACTATACGGAGAGCTGCCCCTACGTAGACTTGCTCCCCAGTGCTGAGATGCCATACATACAGCATAGAAACAGAGCAAACAGTATATACACTGACGTTGTCAGCCAGAAGGCGAAGTAGAACACGTACGGAGAACAGTAGTTTGGGGACTTGGGATTCCTACTGTCAAACCGGCCTTGTGTTCGATATATCCACATGTTCCCTGAAACGACAAACATTTATTTCTTTATCTTAAACATATATGCTTTCATAAATGACAAAACAGTACTATTACACTACAAGTAAATAAAAGAATTTCTGAAATATCGATGAAATACAGTTTGCTGAACAGGCTGAACTCCTTTGTGTTGTTATAATGCATCCTTATGCCTACGAAGACCGCATCTGTGGTGTAGTGGTCCCAGGGTTCGATCCTCGGCCATCATACCAAAAGATGTTAAAAGATGGTACTTGTTGTTACCCTGCCTGGTGCTTGGCATTAAGGGGCTAAATCAAGGACTGGTCGGCTCAGAGTCAGTATACGGTGTCTGAGTGGGGTATTCATGTTAAACTGCGGCATGGTATCTCAGTGGGCTAGCACTTTAAAATTGGCATTAGTCCGGACTAGTACAAGTAGCCACACACACACACATGTACATGCACGTCTCTATATAAGTGCAATCTTCTTGAGCGTGGAGCTAATAATAATAACTCTTAATAGCCATGACTGAACCCAGAAATTTCGGGTCAGTTAACTCCCTTGCCTTAGGAAGTTGCAAGCTCCTTCCGAGCGTGTGACACCTTTGTTACACTCTCGGTAACATCACTGCCATCAGTGTGGGTGTGGCCATTACAAGAATCTTGAAATTTGCCCTCTAGCCCCAAATGTAGTCACATTCAAACTTTTGTTTATGTTTTTGAGAATGCCATCATAGTTCATTTTGAAAAGGTTTACGACTGACCATGTTTTCCAGATGAATTTACTTTGTTGTTTTTATAATCAGATTGGTTCGAGATTACAGACTAAGGGAAAATCAACCAACTTCTCTCTTACATTCTCACTTTATCAATTACATGATAGTTTTAATTAAATAGAAATTCAAATTGACAATCAAAGAAAGTAATTGAGCAGGGGTAAGTGTATTCGGCCTCACGACAGTCGTCACTTGTTTGTAAACATAACAGTCAATCGGCTGTGAGTTCAACTCCAAGCATGATTGTGATCATCTATCACTGTGGGGAGTTTTGACTGGTGGCAGCGATAGTATAGAGAGCTCTGCGAACAGGATATTGCTGCGAGGAGCTTGAGGAAGTTGCTATTTTATTTACCAACCTACTTACCAGCTATAAACCATCCCACAATGAAGAAGACAAGTAGCACCTCCAGTGCATCTTTGCCCCGGCCATGCTGGAACAAGGGACAGTCCTTGCATGTGTACATCTCTAGGAAGGCCTTGATGATCTTGGCTGATATGGCGATGCCCCCCACCAGGAGGTACAGTGGTATGTACTGCTCCGCCGGACAGTCGAACAGATGCATGCACCCTGAAACAGAGGAAGGGAGTTGAAGGCTGCGTGGACAGTTTTTCAGCCACATAGCTGCTGTGCCTAAAGTTGATGCAGGTTGTAGATAGCTACCACTATCATGACTATAGTGAAACCAACAAGCATGGTGATGGAGCTGTCAAACAAAGCACCATAATTAGGGTGAAACAGGGTCGCAGTGATTTTCAGATTCTAATGCTAAGGGAGGTAACTCTGCAAAACAAAACTTGCAGCTATAGGCCACTTGGCCACCTGGGCCCAACTGAAACCGAGATCTAAGGGACAGGTCATTTATTATAGGGATGGGGGTTGGAGCTGTGGGATGGGGGTAGAGATTAAAGTGAGTGAGTGAGTTTGGTTTAACACCGCTTTTAACAGTATTCCAGTCATATCGTGGCATGTCAGCTCAATGTGGGAGGAAAGCTCCAAGTGATGCAGGTCTCAGACGTTTACCACTTCGGTGAAACCCACGAGCACGGGTATGGTGCTGACAAACCTAGAAACATAATCGGGGCGAACAGGGATTCGAACCCACAATCATAGGTTTCTGGCATGCCAAGGAACACAACTCTGCACAGCGAATCGCAGCGCCTTAGACGACTGGGCCACCCGTGCCCCCAGAGATTTAAGAGGGTAGGGGTGTTCATGAAAATATGAATATTATTTAGGGACTGGAAATTTAGTGAGGTGAGGTGAAATAAGGTTAAACGTTGCGTTCAAGATTATTGCCACTTATATATATGGGAATGTGTTATGGGGACATTTTGGGGGTGGGTGGAATGTTATATGAATTTGAGGGGGTGGTGAAAGAATGTTACATAAAATGGGGGAGGAGTCGACAAAATAGGACACAGTCCTAAGACCAATCATACTAGACCCCACACCACCACCCTTTATAATAAATAACCAGTGCGGCAATATCAGTACAGTAGGAGTTTTCACCCTACAACACGTTTTCATGGGTGTGTTGGTTGATGTGTCGGTGGATGGGGGTTGGGGTGTTTGAGTGATCAAGTGATTTCCATTATTATTCCAGCCATATCATTGTAGGGGACATGATCATGCAATTAAAGGCCAGGGCTCCGTTCCACAAAGAGATCTTAGCCCTAAGTCGATCGTAACTCCCATACTTTAAAACAGACTTACGACAGTCGTAGCGCTAAGATCGCTTTGTGGAACGGGACCCAGGACCCTGTTCCACAAAGCCGTCTTAGCACTAAGGTGATCATAGCTCCCACAAAATAACACAGGCTTATGTTGGTTGGTTTGTTGTTTTAACGCCGCACTCAGCAATATTCCAGCTATATGCAATTGGGATCGATGACATGCATCAACCAAGTCAGCGAGCCTGACCATCCGATCCCGTCAGTCTCCTTTTACGACAAGCATAGTCGCCTTTTATGCTAAGCATGGGTTGCTGAAGACCTATTCTACCCTGGATCTTCACGGGTAAACATAGGCTTATGGCAGTTGCAGCATTAAGATAACTTTGTGGAACAGGGCCTATGAGTGACTCTAACTTGGCATCAACTTACCCATGACAATCATTGTGACCGGAACTGCCATGATGATTCCTAGAAAGAGGGTACATCCCACTGGAACAAGAACAATTCTACAGTGAGATCCACTGATCTAAGAACATGCACCAGACAGACACCAGTATGGTGGCCACAGTATCAATGTCCCGCTGACTTTGGAAACTGCCAGTCCTGTTTGTCTGGCAAGTCTAAAAATTACCAGTCCCCCCTACATTTTGTCTGTCTCAACTTTCAACAAACGAAAAAAGGAATGAAAATTACCTGCTTTATATTCTTTTAACGTCATGTTCAATGCAATGACGTCTCTGAAGTAACTTAGATCTACTTGTCATTCACACAAAGTTCATTCACACAAAGTTCAATCACAAGTTTCTTCTTTTTTTTAAAAAACTTTGAGGCTGTATTTTTAACCTTGAAGCAAAGCAAAGTGTTATTACCATGACACATGGTATAACTACATAAATTCCGGAGGGTGTTCATGTAAAGACTGGGGTCACCTGCTACTTGTAGAGATACATGATAATTTCCAGTAAACAGGAACACTGACACATGTTATAACTACGTAATTTCCGGAGGGTGTCCATGTAAAGACTAGGGTCGCCTGCTACCTGTAGGAGATACATGAGAACTTGACACTTTCAGTGTTGTGTGAGTGAGTAAACATCTTCCCGAGGCAAGAGAGTTAACTGACTTTGAAAGTCCAGTTTCCACCCATGCCGAACTAGGCTGGAATTCCTGGAGTCTTACATCGCAAAGTGCATCAAATCACATGAGCACCTTGATTAAAAACATGAAAAGATTTAGAAAATATCTGTTGACAACGAGTTGGAGGTGACCATGCTTTGCAAATCCTGCAGTCGACCGAAATCTGCATGACACTCTACGAACCTGATTTTGATTTCGGTGAGCGATTTTGATTGGACTCTGCATAGATTCGTTAGTCCAGCCAAAATCTATCTCCATAATACCAGCCTAGTTCGGAAAGGGAGGAAACTGGACTTTCATAGTCAGTTAACTCACTTGCCTCGGGAAGATGGTGAGCAAGATGCCACCAAGATTATCATGGACGTAGGGACGCCAGAAATGAGCTTCAACTTCACACATTGTACCCATATAGGGATTCGAACCCTGGCTAGGCATGATGAGCGAAACATGTCAACTACGGGGCTACCTAGTGGGCCTTGTGTTGTGAAAAGGAATGACAAAGAAAATGAATTAAAGTGGAGTGGGTTAAACTGACAACTGGTTCAAAACATTTTTAAGTATCAGACATGTTATGTAAAACACAAGCACCATGACCACTTTGTACTAAACATTGCATTTTCTTATGTTTAATAAACATCTTTGCATAATGTACACCTCTCGTCTGCTCTTTGAGTTTTTGAAAAAGTAGCCATCTTGCAAACAATTTGCAAATGAGGATTTTCATGTTTTCACCTTACTTTAATCTTCTTGGGAAATTGTTTTCAAGATTTGACTGAGTTAAAGGGAAATACTGGACAGAACGATTTTAATGGTTATTGATTAACCTAAATACTATACCAACATACAGTCAAACCCTGCTGTCTCGAACTCAAATGTGACGAATACCTTGTTGTGTTGAACTCACAGACCGATCCTGATAAACTCTTATCATATTTATCACTGTTCAAAACTATTGTAACCTGGATATGTCAAACTGGGTTTGTTAAATTCCTGGTTGTCCCAAACTCTGTTTATATAGTACCAAGAGGTAATAATGCATCCCCACTCTATTCTGTGGTTGCTAAGTATTTTAACATGCGAGTTGAAAAAAGGTTCTAAATGTATATAAACTGCTATGTGTCTTGTTCCCCGGAATTGGAGACAATGGTGTTGAGCTGTAAAAATTATGTAAACACAATATTCAAACATGTATAATCAACAAAACGTGAAATGAACATCTCCAAACTAGAAGATATTCCGTTATCATGTGGAGGAAAGATTTCATACTTACATGTTTCCCTCAGAAGTTCATAGAACTTTTTAAGGAAGTCGATTCGGCTGCTGCTGTGGTTGTGGGCTGCAATAACTCGCCCGAACAGCGAGTCGTATGACGGGGGAGAATCTGGAGCAACAAATGTATCAGATGCAGAACAAACTAAATCAACATTGTTTGTTACTCGCATTTTCTGTGCAAGCTTTGCAGCAAATATCATGTGGTCCAATGTCATGACGTATCTTTGTTGTGAAGAGTTATGTCCCTTAGCTGCCTGAGAATCCACCGAGTATGAGCAAATCCCAGATATGCCAAGCCCTTGATATTATTCTCGGTTTGTCAGCAGTTTCTAGTGGATTTCTAGTGGATTTCTAGTGGTAAGCCTCTAGCCCTGCATCATGTTAGGCTGTCCTCCCCCATCAAGCTGACGCCATGATAAAAATGAAATACTATTCAAGTGATGTTCAACCCAACTCACAACACACACCCTATCTTCTGCTGAGTATGTAGGAACGTTCTTGATAAATAACATATATTTTGTGTGTGTGTACATTTCTGCAATTTGATATTTATCATATGGTTTACTTCACCATGTTCACAGACTACCTCTTGAGCAATGCTTCGGCCCATGCTTGCCGTAAAAGGCGACTATGCTTGTCGTAAAAGGTGACTAACGGGATGGGGTGGTCAGGCTCGCTGACTTGGTTGATGCATGTCATCGTATTCACTGGATTGTCGGGTCCAAACTCGATTATTTACAGACTGCCGTCATATAACATAAATAATTGCTGAGTGCGGCGTTAAACAACAAATTAATAAGGAAACAAAACACAAATGTGTAAAAAAGCAATACCATTGAGCATGTTGAGAGCAGTCAAGTTATTTACCCTCGAAGCCTGTGACTAACTACACTACAGTGCTCAAAAGCAATTCAAATCAGGACAATATTGGAAGGGGGTTAACCCTTTGACTTTTCATTCAAAAATGCACTGGTTCCATTTCCTATTATTTCACACAAAACATGTAGAATTATCAACACTGTTTCTCAAATAAAGGGTTCTTTGGCCTCTTTACTTCTTTTGTCATATTGACAAGATTAAATAAGGCTTAAAAAAATAAAAGAATTGGTTCTCAGGCAATGACTTTTACAAATTTTGTGCGGACGGGCGAGCGGTAGTTTTTATTTTTTGGTCGTTAAAACTAGTATGTAACCAAATAAACAGTCGGGTACCATCAACCTTGACCATCACCGACAATAGCAGGAAAGCAGTGTAAAGGGAAGTAACTGTGTGCCACATTAGATTGCATTATTTTCAAGTATTAGGAATTTTTTTATTTAAAAAAAAATGGAAATATCAACTAAGAATGATGATGCGGGTGGATCCTGAGAACCAAGACTGTTATTTTTTTTTAGCCTAATAGGGTTATATATATTCCCAAATTTTGTTTGGACGTATTTTTGTATGCAATTGTTCCCTTCCATCCAGTACCTCTAAGTGGCGGCTCGTAAGGCGGAGGTAGGCAAACAACAGCAACATCAGAATCAGTGTTCCTCTCTGCAGTTTGGTGAACAAGCCGATCTACCAGGGCCTGTTGTTCTGACACGTCATAGGCTGGAGGAGACTGGTGGGGGGGTATGTTTAGTGGACAGAATGTCAATGGTTCATATACTGCTGCATCCTCATTCTCGCCAAACAGAGCATCATACTTTGGCGGCTTCACCTACGAAATGAAGAAGAGATGGGTAGAAGAAGACATCTATCTGTGAAATATGATATGATTGCAAAACTCTGAGTTGAATGGAGAGTCAGAGAGAGTGTGTCGTGTAACCATGGTAACCAGTGCAATGTAACATGGTTACAGCTATGATGAAGATAACCAGTGCATTGTTACATTCTGAAAGACATGACCATGATGACAGGTAATGGAATATTGAGGAAAACATCTTAGCCAACAAATACATTACATAACTGAAATAAGTTCATAATTTTCGCATAAGTGTACCCAGTACATGGGGGCTTGACTGTAATTATCTAAATAATTTATTCTCGATTATTTTTTTGTCTTATTTGCTTATGGTAATATGATCAATAATCATAATGATACAGATGAGAGCACTGATATGTAATTTCCATATGTAAATTTAGATTAATAAATGGTTGAATATTTTTTATACAAGTTCTAAATTATTAAAAATGTTGGCAAAAACAATTTCTTGGGAAAAACACTTCTTTGGGCTTATAATTAAAACTTCACATTTTTAGATAAAGGCTAATGTGAGAGAATGCATTTACCAGATATACCTCTGTCATTTTGGTAAGGGATGTGCACCTTGGTTTCAAAGATTTTCAGATGCAATATATAGCTACCTCACTAAAATAACAGGGGACTTGCCCTCAACATGATTGCTTTTCATAAATCTTTTAGTAAGTATTTTTGGTTATCAAAGTTCATGAAAATACATTTGATGAAATGTGGCCCTTATGCTGATGGCTAAAAATGATGAAATTATGCAATCTCTAACATTGAGTAATATTTTGATGTTGTTGTGTAATTATGGAAATTAAGGAATTGCTTTGAAATCAAATTTTGAGGTAAAATGAGATTAAACCATACAAATATGATGCAAATTCATATGGAGTATTTTTTCTGGTCATTATTAATCACAAAACATAAAGAAATTAAACTTTAACCAAATTAACAGGCCCTTAATTTATTCATGAAGGATTTTGTCCAAAAGATGAACGCAGCATCTATGCAGCATCTATTATTCTAGGCCTATATCAATGCGCCTGTTCTGTGTCCATATTCAGCGTAAACATCTGGTGTGTATATTGATCATGTGAGCGGCCAACTTAGGCGGTCATTAAAGAGTCATGATACACACAAATAGTCAATGTCATGACGTAACGTTATGAATGTCGACAATATATTATTGATTTTGACAGTAGAAGACGACGAGTAATAGATTGGGCATTGATATGAGTTGAATAGCAGTTCTACTAGGCCAAGTAATAACTAACACACGTCGACTACATGAAACACAGACCAATGGTAATCTAGAAGTTGTCAAAATAATGATTTGAATGCATCAAAACACATTTATAACTGAACTGCAAAGTACTCTATTGAAAGGAAATCGAAACAGTTTCAAGAATTCATCTAACACTAACCTGATCGTCGGCAGCCGCCGCCATTTTTCGGTCGAGTCAGTATACGTCCCTTTCCCAGACCAGGCCTCAGAGCTACGTTTATCGAGAGGTATGCCTGTTATACTCGCGCGTGTAGTTCAACTATACTGTATTTAAGCTTCCGCACGACAATACGAAATGCGCGGCTATCTATAGACAAATCCCAGTCAAATTATAACAATTCCATACATTTTTGTCTGAATAAATATTATGAACGCAGTATTCTTTTATATATAATATGTATATATACTTACTCGATCAAGCTCACTCAATTTTAACACATTTAAAGCCATTATTTTTTTTATCTGTACTGTTAATGAGGTGACGATTGAGATCATCTGTGGTTTGATTCAGTCTCTTTAGACATCGTGGTAATGTATCACACTACCCTAAACTAATAAATACATGCATGTTTGTAAAATCCGTTTGTCTAGGTACTAGAACGGACATATACATACATATTCATTATACACATTCTCGCAATCTCACAAATATAGCTGACAAACGATAGCCGAACTTTCTTTTCAGAACACAGGCCACTTTAATTTACTCTGATCCCTTATTTTTTGCTATCAAGTCATCAGAGAGGTAAACAGATATGTTTAAACTGGTTAGCTCACTTTTTTTATACAATATTTTCTTTTGACAATCGGATTTAAATAATTTCTATCAAAGGGGAATCTCGACTTAACATAAGCTTTACCACTATATCCTATATCGTCGAATTCACAGATAAAAAATATGGAAAAATACATGCTTTGGCATATTCGAATCCAGTGCCATTTATGCTGACTCACTTTAATCTAGTCAACGTTCTTCAGAATGTATTCTTTGTAGCCACCCTACACATAGGTTATGAAATAGAGCTTTGCGTATTTTCGTTATTTTATAAACAACTACAGACAACTACAGACTCTTCATATTGCCTTGTATATAGCGTGTGCGTAAATCATCGCCGCTACCCCTACAACTAGTTTAATACAATTATTTTTTGTATACTCAAGCCACTGACTGGTCACTCTACACATTACTATTATATAAAAGAAACATCCTTGTGTATTTTCCCCATCAATTAAACGAGAGGCGTACGTTGGTCTGGGAAAGTGACAACTACAGAGTCTTCATATTGCCTTTTTTAGATATGTAAAAATCCTCATGGCTACCCCTACAATGGGTATAATACAGTGCTTTTTTATTCGGTCCACTGAAACGTCACTCTTACACATTATTATGAAAAAAGAGCATTGCGTATGTTTCATATTATTTTATACGGGGCGCGAACATTGGTCTGGGAAAGGAACAACTGCACACTGTTCCTATTGCCTTGCATTGGCTGTGGGAAAATCATCGCCACAATACCCCCATAACTAGTATTATACAATTATTATTTGTACGGGGGACGGGCATTGGTCTGGGAAACTGGGACAACTTGTTGCACGAATGGCCTTGTATATACATAACAGGATTCTCTACTCCAGTATAACAATATCTACTCTACTGTATAAACATTGCTTCCGACTTGTATATACTTGTCAACCAGGCTCTGTATATCACTTTGATAACGGCTTTAGAACCTACACCGAAAAGTCGCTCTTAATTGTAATAAATAAGTTGTTCATCCATAAATTCTTATCCTTACTTAACATGTGATTCTCAATAAACCCTCAGTAAAGTCAAGGTACCCCGTACAGCATCCTGAGCGAAGAACCGAACACAGTGATCAAATAATTATATTGGTCTGGGAAAGGGACAACTACAGACTGTTCATGTTGCCTGGTGTGGGAACAATAACCCCACTACCCCACAACTATTATAATACAAATATGTTTTTTATATTTACGCCACTGACATGTCACACTGCACATTATCATATAAAGGAAACATCCTTGTGTAGCGTGTGTGTAAATAATCGTCGCTACCTCCACAACTGTTGTAATGTATATATATATATATATTTATATGTATGACCCCTACTGGTCACTCTACACATTATTAGTTAAAAGAAACATCCCTGTGTGTTTTACATTATCCATTTAGCGGGAGACGAACAGTGGTCGCGGAAAGGGACAAGTACAGACTTTTCATATTGCTTGTGTATAGAGTGTATGTAAATAATCGTCGCTACCTCCACAACTGTTGTAATATATTTATTATTCGCACTATGTATGACCCCTACTGGCCACACTACACAGTATTAGATAAAAGAAACATCCCTGTGTGTTTTCCATTATCCATTTAGCGGGAGACGAACAGTGGTCGCGGAAAGGGACAGCTGCAGACTTTTCCTATCACTTGTACATAGCGTGTGTGTAAATAATCGTCGCTGCCTCCACAGCTGTTGTAATATATCTATTATCTTTACTATGTATGACTCCTACTGGCCACACTACACATTATTAGATAAAAGAAACATTTCAGTGTGTTTTCCATTATCCATTTAGCGGGAGACGAACAGTGGTCGCGGAAAGGGACAGCTACAGACTTTTCCTATTGCTTGTATATAGCGTGTGGGTAAATAATCGTCGCTGCCTCCACAATTGTTGTAATATATTTATTATTCGCACTATGTATGACCCCTACTGGCCACACTACACATTATTAGATAAAAGAAACATCCCTGTGTGTTTTCAATTATCCATTTAACGGGAGACGAACAGTGGTCGCGGAAAGGGACAGCTACAGACTTTTCATATTGCTTGTGTATAGAGTGTGTGTGTAAATAATCGTCGCTGCCTCCACAGCTGTTGTAATATATCTATTATCTTTACTATGTATGATTCCTACTGGCCACACTTCCCATTATTAGATAAAAGAAACATCCCTGTTTGTTTTCCATTATCCATTTAGCGGGAGACGAACAGTGGTCGCGGAAAGGGACAAGTACAGACTTTTCATATTGCTTGTGTAAAGAGTGTATGTAAATAATCGTCGCTACCTCCACAACTGTTGTAATATATTTATTATTCGCACTATGTATGACCCCTACTGGCCACACTACACAGTATTAGATAAAAGAAACATCCCTGTGTGTTTTCCATTATCCATTTAGCGGGAGACGAACAGTGGTCGCGGAAAGGGACAGCTGCAGACTTTTCCTATCATGCACTTGTACATAGCGTGTGTGTAAATAATCGTCGCTGCCTCCACAACTGTTGTAATATATCTATTATCTTTACTTTTCATCACTCCTACTGGCCACTCTACACATTATTAGATAAAAGAAACATTTCAGTGTGTTTTCCATTATCCATTTAGCGGGAGACGAACAGTGGTCGCGGAAAGGGACAGCTACAGACTATTCCTATTGCTTGTATATAGCGTCTGGGTAAATAATCGTCGCTGCCTCCACAACAGTTGTAATATATTTATTATCTTTACTATGTATGACTCCTACTGGCCACACTTCCCATTATTAGATAAAAGAAACATCCCTGTGTGTTTTCAATTATCCATTTAACGGGAGACGAACAGTGGTCGCGGAAAGGGACAGCTACAGACTTTTCATATTGCTTGTTTATAGAGTGTGTGTGTAAATAATCGTCGCTGCCTCCACAGCTGTTGTAATATATCTATTATCTTTACTATGTATGATTCCTACTGGCCACACTTCCCATTATTAGATAAAAGAAACATCCCTGTGTGTTTTCCAATATCAATTAAACAGGAGACGAACAGTGGTCGCGGAAAGGGACAGCTACAGACTTTTCATATTGCTTGTGTGTAGAGTGTATGTAAATAATCGTCGCTACCTGCACAACTGTTGTAATATATTTATTATTTTTACTATGTATGACTCCTACTGGCCACACTACACAGTATTAGATAAAAGAAACATCCCTGTGTGTTTTCCATTATCCATTTAGCGGGAGACGAACAGTGGTCGCGGAAAGGGACAGCTGCAGACTTTTCCTATCACTTGTACATAGCGTGTGTGTAAATAATCGTCGCTGCCTCCACAACTGTTGTAATATATCTATTATCTTTACTTTCCATCACTCCTACTGGCCACACTACACATTATTAGATAAAAGAAACATTTCAGTGTGTTTTCCATTATCCATTTAGCGGGAGACGAACAGTGGTCGCGGAAAGGGACAGCTACAGACTTTTCCTATTGCTTGTATATAGCGTGTGGGTAAATAATCGTCGGTACCTCCACAACTGTTGCAATATATTTATTATTCGCACTATGTATGACCCCTACTGGCCACACTACACATTATTAGATAAAAGAAACATCCCTGTGTGTTTTCAATTATCCATTTAACGGGAGACGAACAGTGGTCGCGGAAAGGGACAGCTACAGACTTTTCATATTGCTTGTTTATAGAGTGTGTGTGTAAATAATCGTCGCTGCCTCCACAGCTGTTGTAATATATCTATTATCTTTACTATGTATGATTCCTACTGGCCACACTTCCCATTATTAGATAAAAGAAACATCCCTGTGTGTTTTCCATTATCCATTTAGCGGGAGACGAATAGTGGTCGCGGAAAGGGACAGCTACAGACTTTTCATATTGCTTGTGTATAGAGTGTGTGTGTAAATAATCGTCGCTGCCTCAACAACTGTTGTAATATATCTATTATTTTTACTATGTATGACTCCTACTGGCCACACTACACATTATGAGATAAAAAAACCCATCCCTGTGTGTTTTCCAATATCAATTAAACAGGAGACGAACACTGGTCGCGGAAAGGGACAAGTACAGACTTTTCATATTGCTTGTGTATAGAGTGTATGTAAATAATCGTCGCTACCTGCACAACTGTTGTAATATATTTATTATTCGCACTATGTATGACCCCTACTGGGCACACTACACAGTATTAGATAAAAGAAACATCCCTGTGTGTTTTCCATTATCCATTTAGCGGGAGACGAACAGTGGTCGCGGAATGGGACAGCTACAGACTTTTCATATTGCTTGTTTATAGAGTGTGTGTGTAAATAATCGTCGCTGCCTCCACAGCTGTTGTTATATATCTATTATCTTTACTATGTATGA